GTTGGTAAAACTGGTCTCAGGTCATATTTTCCGGGCTGGTAAAAAAAAAAAAATGATGGGCTCGAGGGTACAATTTGGTCGTGATCCAATGCCTTTTACGTGAGCTTTTAACGAAAAACCACCCGCCGCCCCTATATATACAAGGGTTAAATGGGATATAGCATAGGCGGCGGAACGGGGAGGGCACCGGGGCACCGTGCCCCCTTTGATTTTTGCATTTTAACATAAGCCCTATGGGCGTTGCATGGAAAGAATGGGACCAAAAGTCGGCAGTGCCCCCCCCCCCCTCCCCCTTAATTGAAGGTGTTCCGCCGCTACTGGGATATAGGTATTAAATGTTTTGTGGAGGAAGTGTCATGTTTTGAATTTGATGCATTGGAAATGCACAAATATCCAAAGAGTTCCAGGACGGTATGGCATTTCAGTAAACTTGGTTGTGTCAGCAATGGGGTCTGGTAGGTGGGGGTAATGGCCCTGCCTGACGCCCAAAAAGGGGGCACGACCCCGAATGACCTGCCGACCACTGTTCTAACTGGTATGTGAGTAAACGCTAATAGAAAATGCTGATCAATGAAGCCAATGGAATTAGATTATAAGGGAGCGTAAACCTTACTTAGGGTTCATTCACATGACGTTGAAACCCAGAACACGACATTTCTTACGCTAGTTGTTGACTTTACTAATAAAATGACGTCTCTTTCTAAAAATGTCAAAATTTGATATTTATTTATCTTTATTTGAGAGCAAGTATTTAACTGTACAACCTTATTATAAAATAATAATAATTTTTCATGGCTGTTTGTAGAGACACAAAAAATCGCTACTTCTTTGCTACTGACGTCATTAAAAATTCAGATAAACTTTTAGATTGAAAGAGGCAATTGTGGCTCGCACGTCCTTGGTGATTTGAGCGCAGCATGAAGAAAAATGAAAAGCAAATTTGAAAAATCAAAATAGATGAATCTTTTTCTTTCATGGATGCTCACTAGTGTTGTGATGCCTTGCATATCAAATTAGCTTGAGACTTGCTCAGAAGGCTGCTTCAAGCCTGGCATATCACACCCAAGAAAATATGCAAGGTAAGAAAGAAGCAAGATTTTTGACTATCAGGACAATCACTGTTTGACAGTTCATCAACTTCAGTTTCATTTCCCATAACATTGATAATGAAAAGTATCAAGGTCTTGTTCTGTCCCACAACCATGCTTCAGGATTTGGCATTAGATTTCTACAATGCTACTATTCTGGTTCGTTGTTTATGTTTTCTTCTGTTCATGTAGGTACGTATCTACCCATCTTTCTTAACCCCTTGCAAGGGCTTGTGTAGGCATGCTTCATGAGCTTGAGAATCTATAGGCCATTGCAATGTGCTTTTGATAATATGTTTTAACTAAAAGTAAAAACAACTTGTTACATACCGGGTGGCCCAAAAAAACGTTCCGAACTTTGGAGGCCTATATCTCAAAGTTGAGTGCAAATAACGAGCCAAAATTCTCATCAAGTTTGCGTCACTTCTTTGCGCATTGGTATGCCAAATTATAACACTCTATTATTATCTCCAAGCCAGCAATCTTATGTTGAATTAAGTAAGACGTTTTTGCTTTTTTTGCCGATGTTGGACGGTAGTGATGATTGGCTTAGACGTACGTACCATGTTAGCAAAAAAGAAAAAGAAAAATGGAACATATGAATGAAACCAGCACGTGTGTTGCTATTTTAAATATTTTTGTCCCACTTATGTGCCGAATATTCAAATACTGAGCCAAAATGGTGTTAATGGATGTCATTCGTTTCAACACTGAGTCCTGTTTCGAGCAGGAGTGGCACGGTGCATGGGTTACTGCTGATTGCCCTCCCTTCAAGAAGATCAAACAGCAAATCGACCGAATAAGGAAAAAGCTAGAGGGAATGTGCCACCCTAAGGCCTGAACCATCAGTGAGACTAGTTGCCAGTAGCAGTCATGGCTGCAGGCCGTGGTACCGAGATGGAAGTGGCCCGTTCACTCACATTTTTTTAGTAAACATCTGAGCAAAAAAGTAATTTTTACATGTCATGCTAGAAACACGAACCATTTTAAAAGTAATTGCCCAAATAACATCAAAATAATACAATTTACTGAAAATATATGCCGCATTGACTATTGGAAGTTTCAATGTTGTGTCTTTATCACTTTCTGAGAAATGTTGATTTAAAGTTGGGAACGTTTTTTCTGGGCCACCCGGTATATACTATTTGGTTGCATTTCACTGAAAGTATCCACGGCCGGCTGATGGCTGGCTGCCCACAGTTTGCCACGGCTGTGGGCGGCTGTGGCTGTGGAGCCACGGCTGCGGGGCAGCTAGGCTGTGGAAAATTGCAGTCGTGCAGAACTCTACCTCCCACCTTCAAAAAAGTTAACACGCGCCCTGGTGGGGGGGGGCTATTATTTGCCCCCCTCCAGACTTTTCGATATATCTCCAGAACTGCTGCGCCGATCGTCACCAAACTTTCAGTACCCTCTCGGACATCAATTTTACACATTGTGACCAAAAATTTTTCCAAAGGCTATGATAGGTTGGCCGGAAATGACGTCAGAGTGACGTCATGTTCTGCCGTTTTGGACCCCAAAAAAGGGTTTCGCAGGAAGAGCTGTCAGGCCTATAGCTTTGCAAATACAGAAAAACGATGAAGACTTGAAAGCTGTAGAATTGCCAGGGCTACAAAACTGCTATCTCGGATTTTTGAAATTTTTGGATTTCGACCCCGAAAATAAAAAATAGATTTTTTGAATATAATAGCCGAAAAATTCAAAACGTTTTTGGAATTTCGCAAAAACCGGAACATATGTGATAGTCCTTACCGTCTTCTATCCACATACCAAATTTGAGATTGATACCTCTTTTTTTTGGCGAAGTTATAGCGAAAAAACTGTTCAAAATTGATGACGTCAAATTTTTAAACTCAATTTTTTAGCAATTCTAGACCCCGTAGCGCAAAACAAAGACCACCATTAGATTCCCCGTGACGAGCTGCATCGAATCAATACCCTCTTTATGCAAAACTATCAACTTTAAAAGTTGACCTTTCTTGACCTGACCTTGACCTGACCTTCACCAGAAAGTGACCTAGGCCGTACCTGATGGTCTTATAACCAACACAATTGAGTTGGAAATGAAAAGTTGGCCATAAAACATGCATCGCACAACCTTAGTACCTAAAGTTAGGTTCATGTGACCTGACCTGTGACCCTTGGTGACCTGACCTGTGACCTGACCTGGTATTGTCAGTGACCTCTGATAGCAACATATGTACTAGGCAACTGACGCCCTATCGCTGATTCTCGACAAAATGCGTTTTCTTCGGTGTTATAGCGCATTCCCTAGATGACCCGTGAACGGTGAAACATGTCATCTTTGACCTGACCTGTGACGTAATCGGTGACCCCTAGGTCAATGAAATTTGGTTTCCTTCGACAAATTTGACAGGCCTTTCGAACGCCGTTTGAATTTAGCGGATCCGTCAAGTAGTTTCGGAGATACGAGGGGGGGGGGGGCAAAAAATAATCCCCCCCACCAGGTCGCGTTATAAACAGACCCCACCAGGGCGCGGGTTAATGAATTGGCATGAAAGTGATGTCGCTCTGTTCAGAAAGAGCAAAAGCGAATATCTACCAAATTCCATCGAAAAATATTCACCGGTTTTCAAGATATTGGACTTTAACTTTTGTTTACTTTTTGGGATCTCCGCGGTTCCTAGCGACTTTATTTGAAAGCGCGGCACTTGTTGCGCGGAAAGCAGCGTATGCCACCGCGTGCTACCAAACGTTTTAGTCAAAGATTTAAAAATCATTAGATCTCCGCTGACGTCACAAATTCTAAGGGGGCATTCCAATGCATTAGCCCCTTAGAATCCGAAAATTGCAAGTTTGAAATTCCATTTCTCCGAATTAAAACATTTTTCAATGTTGTGAGTGCCCAACCCGGTATTTACAGGCCATGGCCACCAATTTGGCTATCTCAATTCAAAACTAATGTTAAGGTGGGATGGTCACTTTAAGTCTTGACACTGGATAGTAGAAGTTATAACGCGAATACAAAATACCTGCCTACTAAATTATGACATATTTTGAAAGTTGTAAGAGCAATTCAAGTAAGAAGTAGTAGCTTCTTGCAATGCAAGTAAGAGCTTTTCAGAACAAAAACAAGATCTGTGAAAAAAAACCTTATTTTTTATCACTGGAAGCGAATTTTGCCGTGGGGCAACCGGGTTAAAAACAACTGAAAAGTGATAGCACGTATTTTAAACTTCAGTTAACTTTCCGGAGTCGGAGTCGAGGCAGCTGGACCGACTCCGACTCCGACTCCTGGCTGCTTGCCACGAGTCCGGGCGACTCCGACTCCGACTCCGACTCCGAAACCCTGAGTCACTCCGCTATCAGTCACACTATCAGTCACTCCGCTAATACAAATTGTTGAAATTAAGCATTAAATTAAGCATTAAATGCCGTCAAATTGATGCTTGAATTTTATGTCTTCGTGAAAAATCGTGATGCTTTTAGGGCACCGTTGGCTTAATTGGGCCTGTAGCGCTGAAACATAACCTTTTTTTCCTTCGTGAATTAATTTCATAGCACAATCGGTGGTGATCCGGCAAGACAAAAGTTGAGATATTATTTACTTCCTGCCGGACCGGAAAAACTGGCTTTCAGGCCTGCCGGACCGGTCAAAAGAAGTTGCGAGATTGGCCGGTTCACACCAGTTTTCAATTTTCCGGCCCGGAAATGACCATTTTTCCGGTCCGGCAGACGGAATTTTGCCGGACCGGAGTCCGGTGTGAACCCGGCATTAGACGAAAAAAAAAACAAATATATACAGGTGTCCGGTCGGATGGGGTTCTTCTAAAAGTTATTTTGGACAATGGGATGGGACTCTGTGGGATGAACACTGCAATCCGGGCGTGCTAAACCACCTTAGCATCATCAATGGGGGCCCGTACTGGCAACTGCATTAGAAGTTCAGCTGAGCGGCTGTGGTGTGGTGTGCGGCGGCCGTTGCGTTCTTCTGACGTCTGGTGTGTGCTGTGCGGCAGCTGCTGATCGGCTACCTGGGAGACCATCGCTGGGTGTCCGGCACAGCGCTCTATGTGGCCTGTATGCTCTGCTCCGGCGGCGCCATGGCACTGGTTCCCTCCTGCCACTCGTACTCAGCACTGGTCGCGGTGAGAGGGAGGAGGGAGAGGGAGGAGAGAGAGGGAGGAGGGAGAGAGAGAATATGAGTGTGTAAACTGTATATTAGGGGTTTGCATTGAAACTCTTTACGATTTTTCTTTGCTCCTTTATGTACGGTCGAAGGCCGGCTGTATAACCCTCGCCCTGGCAGGGGGTCGATGCGACCCCCCTAAGGTTTTTCGAAGATAGCGTAAAAACGGGCGCCGCCAAATTTTGCACAGCCTATGGGGCAACCTTTTTACATATGACCTGAAAATTTCAGGTCCGAGTGACCTAGGGTCAGGTCACCAGGTCAGAAAAACCGGTACAAGGTCATGGTCAAATTTCAATTTTCTTTTTGCACCTGTCCAACTCACAGTTTTGGACTGATTTCCTTCAAACTTTCAGGATGTGCTAAGTTCACCGAGTTGTATAACATATAGTTCGGGTTTTTGAGGTCACTGACCTGAGGTCAGTTAGAGGTCATTACGTCGTTATGTTAAGCCTATGGGAAAATACTAAATTCGGAAAATACTGGAGATATCCGCTTCGTTCAATCACTTTAACCACAGTACTTAACAGCAGTTCACTTGGTGCTTCTTTGTTTGGTGTACTTATCCATGGGTCAGGTCAAATGAGGTCAACTGAGGTCAAATGACGTTTTTGCCAATAACTTGGCACATAATGACGCTAGAGCTTAGAAAATGGTATCATGGTGTTCCTGGTGATCAGCCGAATCGCATATCATGCGATATGATGCAATTTGGTTAACTTGAACTTAATTTATTAATTTAAGTTTACTTAAAATTTAAGAAAAACTTTAAGTACACTTAACCCGCGCCGGGCCGGTGCTCTGAGATTCCGCGCCGGGCCGGGGGGTGTCTGAACACCCCCCCCCCTTCTAACTCGGCTCCTGGGCCACGTAGCGACACGCGGTAAGCGGCAATCGAAAGAACGTCCAAAATAAGGACGAAAACACTTCGGTCATTTTTTGGGTCAGGTCAAAGGTCAGGTCACCAGAGGTCACCAAAGGTCAAATGTCTACTATTTCAACATTTTGGAAACTGCCAACGGCTATCTCGGGAACCGATAGAGCTACAGCGCCGCGGAAAAGCGCATTCGATAGCCCTTTTACAGACCTTTCTGAGTAATGTTCTCAGATTTGACCTCAGGTCAACGGTTTAGCCTCCAGAGGGCAAAAGCTCCAAAAATAGCCGTTTTTACGAAAAACGTTTTTTCGGCAATAACTTTTGACTCTAAAGAGCCACGACATTACTTTTGACACCATCGTGTTCCTCTCGTCGAGACGCGTCGAATGAACTATAATTTGACCTTGAAAGGTCAACTTGAAAATTTGACCTCAGGTCAAGGTCATGACCTGACCGGAAAAGGTCATGTTGCACATCAGTCGATCCGCAACGTTGAGCCGAACACATCTAAGGCGTTTTCAGCGTTCTAGCACGTCTCTATCAGAAGTTATTAGCGAAAAACTGTTAGATTCTGTTCGTGACCTGAGATGACCTCGGGGACGTAACGAGGGGTCACGGTTGCCATTTTCCGGTTCAGTGTGTCCATTTTACCTACATCTCGATGTTTGAGAGTGTCTAGAATAGCGTTCGTGCAAAACAGACGCTTTTCAATTTTCTCCCATTGACTTATAATGGAGAGGTCGCAAAATTGACCTGACCTTAGGTCACCGATATCAAAATTCCGAGATACACATTTTATAGATAATGTTGCTCTAATCAATCGCTGAAAGTTTCAAGGCAATCGATCAATCGGTGTAGCTATGACGAGCATTCTTATTTTTTCTGAGGTGAGGTCACTTGGCGTGATCTGGTGACCTGACCTAAGGTGACCTGGGTCTGAAATTTTCACAACATGTGCGGAAAAGATGCACGAACAGGTGTGCAAAAAACGGCGGCGCTCCGCGCCGCCGTTTTTGAGATATCTGCGAAAAACCGCAGGGGGGGTGTTCAAACACCCCCCCCCGGTCCGGCGCGGGTTAAGCAAGCTAAAAAGTGTATCATACGACGCGCCTTGACGTGCTGAGTTCACTGGTGCTTTTCGTTTTGTTCTATCTTAATTAGATCAAAAGTTATAAGCGAAAAACTTTTGACCTGTTTTTAGCGAAATTTTTACATTTATACCCCCCAAAAACCCCTAAATATTGACCTAGAGCAACCAAATTTGCACAGGGGCGAAAACTCCAGAGGGCCCACCTACCTACCAAATTTGGTGTTTCTAGGTGCCATAAGAGCCAATCGCGAGGGGGGTCGCATCGACCCCCCCCCCCTGCCAGGCCGTGTTATGAAAAATGCCCTGCCAGGGCGAGGGATAAGAAACTTTCGAGAAATAAACTGTGGGCTCAGTTTCTGGCGATCAAGTCACCACATAGCCGTCTCACACTGGTCGGAAACGCTCCAGCGAGAGGCCAGCGGCCTTTCCGCAAAAGTTTTTTGCTTGTTATTCCACAACTAGTGAAGCAAACTTCATAAAACTTTGCATACCTTCTCTGTCATATGTAATCTACCATTTGGATGTCAAGCACTAAATATATGACGTGAATCTGTTAAGATATGACGTCATAATGAGTATAATACAGGATCTAGCACCACTTTAAGTCAACAAGGGAAATTGGGAGCTGCTATTTGGGCACCGGGAATGGTTTCATGCACTCCTTGCAAGGTCCAGTGCTTCACTTTAGCATTTTTGACTTTGCGTGACGTCATTTATGACGTCACTAAGGCCATATAAGTTTTTCGTCAATAACTCCTGATCAGATGGAACTAGAGAGTCGCGAAAGCCACCATTGGACTCAGGAAGACCTGCCGAATCGAATGATATGCGATATGACCTCCTTCAACCATTTTCGTGACCTGAGGGGCTCCGACCTGACCTTGACCCGAGATTAACACCTTAAGTTGACTTCACCCGAACACCAAGTAAAGCATTCAACGCGCCTGAGCTATTGTCAAAAATGGTCGGCAGTGCGACCATTTTTGGCAAAGTAATTAACCTAAAACCAAGCCCGTGCATTGTGGCACTTACCTGACCTAAGAGGTCACTGGCTGACCTAAGACCTTAAAATCGGGTAGTACCTAATTGTTGCGTCTTATAACGGCACACAAGCTCGTTTCTTTCCGCAAGGCTCTAGCTCAATTAGAGGCGAAACGGCGAGGGAGTTGTACCAACCCTCCCCGGTCAATATAGAAAACCAATCGGTCCGGCCAGGGTTAAATACCGGAATTGTGATTTAATGTAAAAAGACGGCCCAAGGTAACCCGACGTCAGTGACAGGTGTCCTATATTTACAGCGTCTTATATTCACGAAGGTTTCAATTTCCACTTTCTTCAGCCGAGTGATGGTTGTCAATAGCAAGGCTCTCTAAATGCAAGCCGTAATCGCCACGCAATATGTGGAAGGCTTTTGATGTCAATACATACATAAATGCATACATAAAACGCGCTTTTCACAAAATTCATAAACTCAAGCGCATCTGTTCTTAATGACCAGTCAACTACGCATGGATGCGTGCAGGCCACACAGGTCAGCGTAAGCCGGGCGTGGCGGCCGAGCCGAAACTGGGGCGGGGCGGGCGGTAGTTGGGTAGGAAGAGCGGCTCCTGCAAATTTTGCGCAAATATGCGCAGTTAGCTTTTATGTTGCCCTGGTGTAAATTTAAATCCTGCTTCATCTCACAAAAAAATCAGAGTGGAACTAGATGGGACTACCTGTTGTTTCCTTAGCTAAACTTTGCAGTTATATTCCAGAATCACTGTAGGAGAGCCTTCATAAAAAGCTACAGTAAATCTTAGTTAGGGAAAAAGTATACCAAAAATTTTGCACTGACCAGTCGGCAACTTCATAACGAACATTTTGATGCATAATATGTGGGATTTCAATTTGGTGTCTATCAGCAATAAGACTCTGAATATCCGGCTCAAGAAACCTCTTGCTCCGCGTCAGTTTCCGAGTTCTGGGATACCCCATCTTCGGGGGCTGATTACAGTTATTTTTGGTCACCCGGATTAGTTTTTTTGGCCTAAGTATAATAATTTGATCAATTTCAAATCGATCTATATAAAGAATAATCCGAAACTCCGGAATCGCCCGTGGCCTCTCGTGAGGGCGTTTCCGACCAGTGTGCGTCTTCATGCTTCATTTTAATTACACAAGTGCCTTCGCTGATCAGTTTTCTATGCAAAGAAGTAAAATATGAAGTATAAACCACCCGAGGGAGTTGGTGTTGAATAGTTTGGTCCAGGGCGTATTTTAATGGATTTGCACTGGGTCGGCAATTACAATTAGGGGCGGCATTTTGCACTCATAGGGGCGGCACTTGGCATCTGAGGGGGGCGGCATACCTGATATTTAATGACCAAAAAAGACACGTTCGACGGATCTTTTATAACTCTTTCTAAATAATGATTTCAGATTCAACCTACCTAAGCTCAGCGGTATTACGTTTATTTTTCCGGGATATAGTATTTCTCTCGTCATAATGCGACAAATGAACTATAATTTGACTTTACAAAAATTAATTTAAAAATTTTACCTGAGGTCAAGTTCATGACCTCACCAGAAATAAAACATGTTGTAAACCTATACCAGTCGATCCGTATCGTCAAGTTTAAAACATTCACGGTGTTTTATGGCTTTAGAACAGTGGTCGGCAGGTCGCACGAGTGGTGCCCACTTTATGGGCGCTGGACGGGGCCATTGCCCCCACTTGTCATACCCCATTGCAAGCCCCATTGCTTACACAGCAAGGGTCGCTGATATTCGGCCATATCATTTGACGCCTCTATTTTTCTGCATATAGATAAAATGCAACACAATTAACCCGCGCGGGGCTGGGGTCTCCAGCCGAACGCGCGGGGCTGGGGGGGGGGTAAATTTTACCCCCCCCCTGTTATCTCCCGAACTAATGGTCCGATTTGGAAAATTCAAACGCCAATCGAAAGCTCTCATCACGAACTACTAAAAACATGTACTTAATTTGAAGTTT